GTGTGTAAGGCTGGCCATGGGGACTTGGGGCAAAAATGCCACTAAATTGGACAAAAATGCCCCTGCACAAACAAATTTAATCTATTACGTCTGTTGCTAACAAAGTGAATATGAATAGACCGTGTCGATTGCGGCATTAAGAAGAGATTCATTTAACAGTGTATACAGCTTCAGTGATTATAACGATAGTTAAATTTTTTTGAGAGTGCTTAAACTCGCGATGGATCAATGTTAGTGATAATGTCACTTTCTAGATATAATTTATTCGCTGTTTGAATAACAGTGGAAAGGAAACGTTATATAATTATCCATTTCTAACGTTTTTATTAAAGTGTAATCACGTTAAATACAAATTCAGTCCCATTAAACTTTTTTTTTTAGGGATCAATGTTAGTGATAATGTCACTTTCTAGATATAATTTATTCGCTGTTTGAATAACCGTGGAAAGGAAACGTTATATAATTATCCATTTCTAACGTTTTTATTAAAGTGTAATCACGTTAAATAGAAATTCAGTCCCATTAAACTTTTTTTTTTAGCCTACATGACACCCATGTCTGGCTCTTAAAAAGACGGGTTTATAATGTTTAATACATTTGGCTGCTTTTAGCCTTACCCTGGAGTTGGTTCACCCTCCGCCTTCGCTGTCGATTCCCATCACAGTACATTTAGCGTGTAGTGCAATTATTAAACAGTCAGAAATGCTCCTCTCACCTCAAGCAGTTCAGCCTGACGCTCTTCTTCAGTCAAAAACGTCTTCACCTTCATCTCGAGAATAGTGAGTACTGTGAGAACATGCAAAATACCAAAACTAATTTTAGAGATTTCAGGTTCGGGTGCAATAGTGATGGTAAAACTTGACCTACACATTTATATGCACACAATGATGAATGAATTGGAGGAGTCCCAATAGGGTCCTCGGACTCCTCGCGATGCTTGGACCCTAATTACCTTTGGGTGGAGCTGCAGTGGAGTTGAAGGTAGGAGCTGCAGTTGTGCTATTGAAAACTACAAATACAGAGCCTCGATTATAACATTATAACAGGCACCTTCCGAGTAGAGACCTGCACTATCGCGGGACTACCGCGGCAACCAACGCAAGAGTGCGGCGCGCGGTAGAGGTCTGCGTGGGACTGCTTTTTTAGTCCCACTCCCGCAAGGTTCTATTCCGCACCCACCCGCTCCTGCTATATTCACTCTTTGTTCACCTGCTGTCCGCTTAGAATAATTTTCTTCCCGACCCGACCGTTCCCGCTAAATTTAGTTCTCGTTTCCAGAATCTCACATTTAAATTTCCGCTACTGAAAGAAAGAGAGATAGGCTGTAAGAGCTTGATTAGCTGGTTCAGGTGTGTTTAATTGGGGTTGGAGCTAAACTCTTCAGGACACTGGCCCTCCAGGACCTAGTTTGGACACCCCTGCTATAAAAGGAGGGAAGAAGCGCTTCCAATCATTGTGTTCTTGTTAGCAATGGTTACCTCCAAAGAAACACGTGCAGCCATCATCGCTTTGCATCAAAAAGGCCTCACATGCAAGGAAATTGCTACAAAGAATATTGCACCAACGGCCTGGTGTCAAGAAGGGCAGCAAATAAGCCACTTCTCTCCAAGAAAAAAAACGTCAAGGACTGACTGAAATTCTGCAGGAAGTACAAGGATTGGACAGCAGAAGACTGGGGCAAAGTTATTTTCTCTGATGACACTCCCTTTCGACTGTTTGGAACATCTAGAAAATCGATTTTTTTGGAGAAGAAAAGGTGAACGCTACCATGGGTCCTGTGTCGTGCCAACAGTGAAGCATCCTGAGACCATCCATGTAGTCAGGATTTGGCCCAGAAGCTAATATCCAGCATGCCAGAGCGAATTGCAGAGGTTATGAAGAACAAGGGTCAACATTGTAAATATTGACTCGTGTGTGTGTATTTATTTATTTATTTATTAATTATTATTATTTTTATTTATTTTTGCCAATAAAAGCCTTTAAAACGTATATGTTTATCATTGTTTTTCAGTATACCATAGAAACATGTGGAAAAAAAACTACAAATACTGAAGCAGCAAACTTTGCGAAGCACAAAATTTGTCACTGTCAAAACTTTTGGCCATGACTGTAGGTGGTGTTGGTGCTGGTGTAGGCGGTGTTGTAATGCTGGTGTAGGTGGTATTGTAATAGGTAAGGAGGTAATTGATGTGGTAGTTGTAGTATCCGTAGGTAGTTTGAGCTGTGGAATTAAAGAAATGTTTGATATCAACAATCAGATCATCTGTACTGTTGAATTATCATTCCTGATGGTGTGGTGCTTCTCAGTCTCTCAAAGTGATTATAATTAATGAAATCAGTGGTGGATCTAATTTTGTATTAAACTGTCAAAATCTGACACAGATTACAGTGCAGCTGATGTGAATGCTACCTGTGGTTAAGCAGCTGACTGAGAGCCG